CCCCTGCCCCCTGCCCAAACACTCACAACTCTCTGGTGGTAGGAATTCTCGTTTTGCAGCTGAGCAAACAGGTTAGAAAATTAGACAGCATACGTAAAATCACTTGGCTCACCAACCTACAGCTCCCTCTAGGGGGCTGCTTCGCCCTTATTGGTTATATACACATTTAGGGTTAATGCCACGGTTATCTAACAGAACTGTTTTGGTAGTCTCAGGTAAACTTACGGTACGGAAATTTGTTTCTTGAGGATACAAAAAAAGAAAAGTGTCAAGTTAGGGGGAAAGTAAAAATTCAACTCCTAAAACGTGTACAGTCAGGCAGTCACTTCATAAAGAGTTCAGTTGATGAAGTTTCACTCTTGAAATTTCACTGTATATATGCAAGCCCTAACTATTAATACAGGTGAGAGCATCCACCTTATCTTCCATTCTCCCTAAGCCCTGAGGGTGGGAATTGGGGGGCACTCCAATCACCTGAGCCTAAGTACATAGCTGTGTCTGGCATGGTCTAGTTATTTATAGCCTCCAAAAAAAAAAAAAAAAAAAAAAAAGAGAAAAGAAAAAAAAAAAAATCCAGTTTCTTGTCCGATTCAGGCTTTCCCTGCCTAACCTCCACTAGCTTAATGCGATGTTGACATTACCAGGAAATGCATAAGTCCCAAATGCATCTTACAGATGTTTTTACCTCTTGAAATAATATCGGGTCACAAATATTGTCACTTGTGTTTTTTTTTTTTTTTTTTTTTGCAGAGATTCTATTGCTCATTTGACTCGGGGGCGTTGGATTTGTGCTGAGTGTAATTTCACTCCAAGCATGCAAACTGATCATTTCTTCCCGTGTGTTTGGGGAGTACAAGTGACTACTGCGAGTCCTCACATGTTTTTCTTTTCCTTTTCACGTGGAGGAAAGCGAATTCTCCTAGGACTGTTTGGCATTCTACGCAGGGGTTCGAAGATGGGTTCCTCAGTCAACTCTGGCTGCGCGGGGGGGCCTGTGTGTACTCAGGGGCACCAGGCTGGAATCGTCCGCCTTAGTTTCAAATAATAAAAGTGCGGAGGGTCTTTCTGCCCCTAAGTCGCGTACAGGACTGCCTGGTTACGGGGTACACTTCCACACACTTCTTTCCCGGTGGTGCTGTCTCGTGGCGGCAAAGCCTTTAGGAAGGCTCTGGGAGGAGAGAGATGATCAGTGGCGACCACGCCTCCCACGTTACAGCGCTCGCTTCCTACTGGGGGTAGGCGGGGACACCAAGGCTCTCCAGCCCGGGAACACGGAGTTCGGCTTCGCTGTACCCAACTGGGAAGCTGTAGAAACACAAAACTCGGGGGGCGACAGCACCAGTCGCTTTTCCGCTCTCTTGGCTCTTTCTTCCGCTTGCACCACCCCCACCCCAGCCGCACCGCCCCAACCCCGGCTCCTCCGCTCACCGAACACAAACCCACACCCCCCGCCGCTCCCGCGTTTCTCTCTTACCACCGACTGGGGCCTGCCTTTTATAGGCGCCACAGCCAATGAGCGCGCCTCTTTCCTTCTGCCCTCCCGCCTGGCCAATCGCCGCGCCCCTTGTGTAATCTCCGGCTAGTCGGCTGCTTTCGGCTATTTTCGCTGTTGCTGGCTTTTTCAGGAGCTGCTCGCTCGCAGCCAGAGACGCTGCTTTTTTTTCCGGGTTCGGAGCCGTTCCGGATGCTTTAGGCTGCCGGATGTCTGATCTCCGGATAACTGAGGCGTTTCTGTACATGGATTATCTGGTAGGTGCATGGCAGGGGTGGCATGTCGCCTCTCGGATCTCGGCGTGCCCAGTGGCCCCCTGCCTTGAGGAGCAGCCTTTTTGCTTTCTTTCTTTGGGATAGGATGCCTCTGGGGTTCTTTCTCCCGCAGCCGGCTCGGAAGCCGTGCCCTGGACTCGGAGGGGCAGCCTCCAGGGCGGCGGGTGGTGGAGCTGACAGGTAAAGGTGCGGCCTGGGCCAGCACGGCTGCGGGGCGAGGGTCGCGCTGGGGCTGCTTGAGAGATGGGGCGGCCGCGGCGGCGCGTCCCCTGCCCGCGATCGGTTTCCTGGCTTCCCTCTGCGCTCTCCGCAGAGGACTTTCTTTCCGGGGGAGCGGGAGTTTTCCGCTCTCCCTGGAGCAGAACTCCAGGTGCTATTAAAGAGCCATAACCAGAATGGCTCACTAAGTGCCCAGCAGCCCTGGTCATTTGATTGTTATTAAATCTCTAAAGCTATGACCTCGGTCGTGGCGGGGTTTTAAAAGCACATTACCATAAAGCAGACGGGTCTAAACTACCTCACAGGCTGGTCCGAACAGGACTGAGTAGGGACAGGTATTGCCCTACCATTCCGGTCTTGGGTGCGTGCAGCTGTTCCACTGTGCACGGATTGGAACCCGGCTGTTTAGGCCAGGCTTGTGCTGAGAAGTTTAGGTGGGAAAAGTGTCAGCACAGTGCTGGGACCGAACATCATTTTAAAAATGGACTTATGTGTGTGTCTTAGTGGAATTATGCGAGCGGAAATTATGTTTCCCCAGAGCTGCTTGTTTGCGTTTTAGGGGATCCTCATTTACAGGGACTGTGTTCGATCCTATATGATTATTTTGTTTACCATGTTGGGCAGAACCGCTATTGCCATGCAGAGTTGAAGTAGACGGTTAGAAACATTGACCCTCCTGTCATCTTGTTGAGCACATGCACTCGGTTTTCGACTGCAGAGTCTCTGCCTGGCAGAGATTTGCCAGTGCCTTCTAGGAATTACACTTAAGGCTGTACAGAGAAAGTCTGTGCATGCTTTGATGGCCAAGAAACGCCGGACCGGCTTTGTACTGTCATCTGTGTATTGGGCTTATTTTAGTGTCCATAAAGAAAATGTTTCTCCGAATGCTTCAGAGCTTGATGGTCTTGGTGGGAAAGGATGGTAATTGCAGTTAATGCATGGCCTTGTGAATGGAGCTGAATCTAAAATTCTGAGTTCAAGTTCTGTTTTGTTGTTCATTTGTTGATGGCAGTAACTTCCTTTATCTTTGTGATAAAGGGATATTATTCACTCAGTACTGTAGCTGGTTAAGGGGGTTGTCTGATTATGAACACTCTTCACAATACAAGGTGCCCTGTAAGTTAGGAGAGCTGCCAAAGTGTCCAGAAGATTGTTTTCTAAGTTAAATAACAGATTTAATTTGTAATTTATCTTATATATTACAATACATGGTTTTTGTCTTGCAGTCTGCGTAAATTAAAGCCAAAGTTTGTTGGGATAATTACCAAGTAGGAAGGGGTGACATTCTGTACTACTAAAAGCTAATTTTGAATACTTAAATAGTTCTTAAAAAAGAAAATCAGGTGGTTCTGACATTTTATTATTTTCTTTATTTACTGGATGTGTTTTAAATTTATAAATTGCATCACAAAGCCGTCTTTGAGGTGTCAAACCTATCAAAATGATTACTGAAAACAAAATTGATAACTCTGGTTAATTACTCAGGCTAACCTCTAGATAGGCATAGTCTTAAGGTGAGTGGATGAATGTTTGTGGCCTCAAGGTTACCTTAAAAGCAGATTAATTTATTTGCCAATTTATTAACAGCTTTGTGTCAAAATCAACAGGTCACAACTTTGACTTGGCTTTTTTATTTTCCCTGGGCTCAAGGTTACCCTAAAAGCAGATTCATTTCTTTGCCAATTTACTAACAGCTTTGTGTCAAAATCAGCAGGCCCCAAATTTGACTTGGCCTTTTAGAAAGTTTTACCTGCCATACATCTTAATTTTACTTTTATATTTTAAAAAAATCATTATTTTGCCACTTTATCCGTCTAAAATTCACAAGTGCAGTGACCAACCCCATAAAAGCCACTGGCTACTCTTTGGAGGTGAGAAAAGAAATCTTAAAGGAAACAGTTTAGTTTTTGTGAGTGTGCTAAGTGTCCCCTGTGAAAAGATTTAAGAAAATTCTTTAGCATTACACTGGATGGAAACAAACAGAAAAACCATCTCAAAACAAAAAATTAGCCCTCCCGAGATGGCCTTTTTGTGTTCACTTTTGCTTATCGACTTTGAGAGAAAATGATGTGCCACACATTATTCTTCTCTTCCTGTCTTTCAGATTGATTTGCTTGCTTATGCATACTCTGTGTGGTGTTTATTAAAAGCCTTATTTCTGAGGAATAATAATTTATTTGCATCTGGTATCTTATTAAAAAAAATTCCTGAGTTCTTTTACTTACCTTGCAGAAAAAAAAAAATAAATGCATCTTTCATTCCAAGTTTGACTCCAGACTTTGCTGAATGGATTAGAGTAAGTTCCCTTTCCATGCACTTGACAAGAATAATAGTTTTTTCAGCAGTATTTGACTGTCTTGTGTTGTTCCTGTTGGAAACTGGAAGAGAGAGCTCTGTGTGTGTATGTATTGTTCATTGTTCTTTGGGCTGGATGTCATCACTTAACCTTTTTATTTGGAGGAGAGTGGAAAGGAAGAGGGGAGAGAAAGGTGGAGGTGCTATTTTTTTTTTTTTTAAACAGGATTAATCTTTTTAATAGGATTGAGTTATTAAGACAGATGAAGAAGCTCTACTGATCTTCGAGGTCGCTGTTCATTTCTTAAAACAAATGTTCTCAGAAGTGACAGTCAAGGTGAGGGACAGGGTTAGTACTTTAATATTTAAGACAGGGTTTTATTGATTTCAGTCCAGGGAAAGAATAGAAATTTGCTAATCCTGATCAATTAGATGTATCACCTGGTGCGGTGCCTGACTTGGTTGTTGGCATGTATTAATAGTTAGGGCCCGATATTTTATTTGTTGAATCAGATGCATATGAAATGGAAAGGGAAATTCTGCTTTTTTCCACCAGTTTTTAAACAGAGACAAGATAAAATCTGTTTGGATTAGGTGTTTTGTTCTGGGGAATGCAGGATGTATCCTTTACTCTTAACTTGAAGATGATCAAGATATAATCCGTTTAGCCGGGGTGACAATTTAAACATAAAAATCTGTTTTCCGGTTGATGAGTGATTCTTCCTTGAAGGGCACACAACTTTTCCCCTTTCATGATGGGGTTTAAAGGCCTTGTTTACATCTGCCAGGTGTTTTGGGTAAACATTTAGCTGCTGTCCCAACAGGCAGTATCAGCATCTTACTCTTTCTTCTCATAGGTATAACTAGTAACACAATGTGCAAAGGTTTTTGAATAAGGTAGGAGAAAATAGGTTAAAATGAAAGAGCAAAACACATTTCTCGAGTTTTCCTGGGAGGTTGGACAAGATCAACTTCTAGATTCCATTCAGTTCAGAATTTTCTGTCTTGACTCATGTGATGGTTGATGTGGAATTAACCTTTTTTCCCTTTGTGCCATCAAAACAACAGTGGTAGAATTGGTTGTACTCTGTGTAATACCTGTGATGATTAAATGAGATAGTGGAGGGAAAGCCATTTGTAAACAGTATGTTGCTTTTCAAATATAAAATGTTAATAATTGTGTGACTGGGCAAGGTGGCTCATGCCTGTAATCCCAGCACTTTGCGGGGGCGAGACAGGTGGATCACTTGAGGTCAGGAGTTCAAGACCAGCCTGGCTAACATGGAGAAACCTCATCTTTACTTAAAATACAAAAATTAGCTGGGCGTGGTGGCGCATGCCTGTAATCACAGCAACTTGGGAGGCTGAGGCAGGAGAATTGCTTGAACCCGGGAGGCAGAGGTTGCAGTGAGCCGAGATCACACCACTGCACTCCAACCTGGGCGACAGAGTGAGATCTGGTCTCAAGACATACAAAAAAAGACATTAATGTATTGTGATTATGTTGCTGATGTTACTTTTATACGTCCTGTAGAATGACTGTTACTGCTTAGTGGTATTGACATACCTTTTAAACTAGTCTCAATTTATGGAAATACTGGGAGTTGTAAGCAACAGTCAGGAAGTCACAAGACTCTTTTAAGATTCTTTTAAAAGCTATGAAAGTAAAACCCATTTGAATAATTTATTCAACAAATATTTATGGAGCCCCGACTTTGTGCATGGCCCTGAAAGTCATGGAGGATGAGCCCTCAGCTATAATATCCTCCTTGGCTGCAGGACTGGCAGGTGTTTGGCTCTAGAGGAACCTGTGGCAGGACAGGTTAAGTAAGGCGCATAGGGGAGGGTTAGCTTCTGATGTGCTTCTTTGCTTTTTGTACATTTCTCTCATTTTATGTGTTTTATTGTGAACTAAAATATAAACTTAGACTTGAAAACGTGACAAGTAAAAATGGTTGATAAGTCTTGGATGCTAATTGTCAATTAATATTCATTGCATTTGTATATAGTAGCCCCCACCCTCCTATCCAGTTTTACTTTTCAAAATTTCAGCTAACCATGGTCCACCGAGGTCTCAAAATAGGTGAGTACAGTACAATAATATATTTTAAGAGAGAGAGAGAGACCACATTCACACAACTTTTATTATAGTATATTGTTATAATTGTTCACTTTTATTATTAGTTATTAATCACTTACTGTTCCTAATTTACACATTAAACTTCATCATAGGTGTGTGTGTATAGGAAAAAATATAGTGTGCTATTTGCTATGTTAGTTAGTTCTATGACAGCTCAGTACTATCTGTGGTTTTAGGTATCCACTGGGACTTGGAATATATCCCCCATGGATGAGGGGAAACTACTGTACCATGTTGGGGATTTTTTTTTTTTTTTTTTTTTTGAGACAGAGTTTCTCTCTTGTCACCCAGGGTGGAGTGCAGTGGGGTGATTTTGGCTCATTGCAAC